GTAAACTAAGTCAAACTCACACGGATCATGGAAAGGAACCATAATATAATTATAGATGAGTTTCTCCCTTTGTTGCATCACCGTTTGGAAAATTTTTCTTGCACCTTCTCGAACTTGGACCAAATCATCAAACATGGATCCAGTGATATCAAAAACAAAGGTTAGGGAGCTTTTTCCAGCTGTGTCATCTACCGGTTGACCACGTTGATCGGTAGATGCAGCTCCACTAGCGCATGCTGCTAAACACAGCAGCAGCCTAAGCGGCAACATGCACCTGAAACTGGCACTTATCCACAAAAACTGTTAATAACTGCTTTCAAAATTAATGATTTGCAAAATGTAGAAAAAAGGTACAGTATAGCTCAAATAACATGAAGTATCGAGGATATGAGTGAATTCTACAGCCAAAAACTACAAGCTACACGACTGCGACTATAGGATTTAAAAACGGCTCTCGACAGCGAGTTGAGCGCACATCTCAGCACAAATGTCTCATTAATAACTTTGGATGCGAAGCCAGAGGTAGGTGTGACTCTGATCGATAATGATCGCCAATCAGGCATGACATGGCCCTCTAGCCGGAAAAGAGTTCGGTAACTCTGGAGGATTTGCTGACTCATATCTGGTGGTGCCCCTTGTTTTATGCTGCATGTTGACAGTGTGATATTGCAGCAAAGAAACTGCAAGCAAAGTCCAACTGCACTTTGTTGAAATAAAACAGGAGCACATACTGATATCTATAAAAGTCTCAAAATCTGATGAAGTACAGGCTAGATCTCAAGGACATGATTATTATAAAATATTTCAGAATAAATAAGAGAACACAAAGGATTATGAGAGAAATAAAGAATAAATACATGGATAGGAGCCCCTGCGGAGTATACAGCAGATACCAATAATCCAGTTCAACCAAAGGATAGAATGCAATCGAGCAGTAGAGGATCTGCCTTGGTCACTCATCCTCTCACTCGCTCTCTCTGTCCTCCTCCCTCCCTTACGGTGGGCGGGAGCTAGACGACTGAAATCCTGAACTACAGAGCAACTATTCCTCAACTTGTGAAATTCACAAGAAATATCTGTGGCCAAGTAGGAATGCAAAAATAACGTGAAATTTCTGAAGTTGAAGATAGCAGGAAGAAGTGGAAATAATGTCCGGTCAGGTGGTTTGC